AGAGCGAGACTCTGTCTCAAAAAAAATAAATAAATAAAATCAAAATAAAATAAAGTTCATCAGGAAAATGCTTAAGCAAATTCTAATTTCTTTCCAGAGGGAGATTATGAATCACCTCATGCAAAAAAGTTCTGCTGCAGACCAGGCCAAAAAAACCCCACAACTTCTTTTTCTTTCATACAACAAATTGTCAACACACCCCTCAACACCTATGCTAGGCACTACAGAGGAGGCCAGAATGCATCCAGGCAAAGTAAGGCAAGCACTGGGCCCGGAGAACAGAATGTTGGGGAGGAGGCTTGAGTACCAGTTTGTCGGCCCTCGAGGCATCTGGGAGGTGTTCCAGGTGGAAGGGAACAGCACAAGTAGTCAGCTTGTTTTTTTGTTTTGTTTGGTTTGGTTTTTTGAGACCGATCTTGTCACCCAGGCTGAAGTGCAGTGATGCTATCTCGGCTCACTGAAACCTCTGCCTCCCAGGTTCAAGTGATTCTCCTGCCTCAGCCTTCTGAGTAGCTGGGATTACAAGTGTGCACCACCACACCCAGCTAACTTGTGTATTTTTAGCAGAGATGGGGTTTCACCACCTTGGCCAAGCTGGTCTCAAACTTCTGACCTCAAGTGATCTGCCTGCCTCAACCTCTCAAAATGCTGAGATTACAGGCACCCACCACCACACCCAGCTAATTTTTTGTATTTTTAGTAGAGGTGGGGTTTCACCATGTTGGCTGGGCTGGTCTCGAACTCCTGACCTCGTGATTTGCCTGCCTCAGCCTCCCAAAGTGTTGGGATTACAGGCATGAGCCACTGTGCCCAGTCTAATTTTTGATTTTTTTTTTTTTTTTTTTTTTTTTTTTTTTTTTTTTTTAGCAGAGATGGGGTTTCACCATGTTGGCCAGGCTGGTTTTGAACTCCTGACCTCAAGTAGTATGCCCATTTCGGCCTCCGAAAAGCCTAGGAGTACAGGTGTGAGCCTCTGCGCTCAGCCCAATGTCTGATTCTATAGGAGAGATCCGATTTAGAAATTGTGTCAAATCCCACAGGTGGTGGCAGGGATGGGGGATTGACGAGTTCTGGGGACGTTTGTAGATGGGTGCTGTTCACAGGGAAATATTATACAAGGAACAGGTAATGGAAATGAAGAGTAGAGAGGCCCAGTGGAGAGATCCCAGGAAGACTTCTCTGAGGAGGTGGCAATGATGATGGACCAAGAAGGCATAATAATGACTGGTGACACTCCTTATGTGATTCCTTTTAGCCCTAGTAAGTTACCATGTTGTTATGTGTCCCCAGCCCCAAACGTCCCCTCTCCTCCTTGCCACCCCAGCTCCCAGAGCAGCAAGTGTAACCGTGGGGCCAGGGGAGAGTATCTTCCTTTGTCTTACAGCTGGAGGGGGCCGTGTACACTCACTCCTAATATCACAGTAGGTGTACAACGAGAGGTCACAGAGAGCAACCTCCCCCTTAACACTGGCCACCCTCCTGATTTAAGGTTTGAGCACTTTCTCCTGACTCCATAAGACAGCTAACACTTACTGAGCATCAGGTTTTTTTCAAAGTATTTTACAAATAATATCTCATTTAAACTTCAGAACAAGTCTGAGAGGCTGGGCATAGTGGCTCACACCTGTAATTCCCAGCAATTTGGGAAGTCAAGGTGGGTGGATTACCTGAGGCCAGGAGTTTGAGACCAGCCTGGCCAACATGGTGAAACCCTGTCTCTACTAAAAATACAAAAATTAGCCAGGCATGGTGATGGGAGCCTGTAATCCGAGCTAGCTGGTAGGCTGAGGCAGGAGAATCGCTTGAACCTGGGAGGTAGGGGTTGCAGTGCCGTGGTCGCACCACTGCACTCCAGCCTAGGCAACAGAGTGAGACTCTGTCTCAAAACAAACAAACAAACAAACAAAAACCCAACTCTGATAAAGGCACTATTATCATCTCCATTTTTCAGCTGAGTTAGCCTGGGCTTCTCTGACTTCAGGGCCTATGCATCTGGCCCCTCTCCTCTGAGCCCTCTGCTTTTCTGCCATTCATTTTCCCCAGTCCCTCGTTCACTGGAGATCCTGGCCTTTTCCTCTTCTCTTATCCCCTCTCTACACTAACAGGGACACATCAAGCTCACACCTGGACATTTACTAGCCAGGGTGAAGGGGCGAATCTTTGGGGTACCTACTCACAGATTTCAGCGTGCTTTCTGGGACATTTTCTTATCTAAGCCTTTAAAACAGCCCTGTAAGGTAGGATTGAAATGCTTTCACTGTCATCCCATAGAAAAGAAAACAGAGACGTAAAGATGTGATGTGACTTGCTTAATAGCCAGAGGTGACTCTTGCGTCTAGTGTGCCTCGACTACAACACACTCCCTCTTCTCTAGCCTGGCACTTCTTCCTTCTTGGGAGTCAGGCATGGGTCAGTTTCCCCCTTCAATGACATTGAAGAGAGGACTGTGTCACAGGAGACGAGCACAGGACCCGCTTCTGACTCCTAGAGTGCAAGCCCCAGCTGTCCTGCTGTTTAGACCAGGTCCACCTGTCTGGAACTGACCAGCAGGATGAGAGGTGAAGGGAGGGAGTGATGGTGGCTGAATCAGTGGCCGCAACAAGAACCTTCCCCTGCCCAGGACGGTAGGCAGGGATGGGGAGGAAGATGACTTTGGCATTGGAACAGAGAGTGGCAAGAGCTTGATCTCTGAATCTTTAGTCAGAGGGTGCTGGTCCAGTTGTAGCTAGTTTGGAGTCCTCATCATCCAGGGCTGGCAGCTTTTACGGAGAGCGCTGCAGCCCCACGTAGCAAGACACAAGGAGGCCCCACCTTGGGCTGCTAGCCTGACACAGAGGAATCAGTCCTCCAGAAGCAATCCCACAGGAGCGAGAAGCTGTGTGCCTGCAGACGTTCCCTGCAATGTTACCAATGCAAAATCACTATATTTTTAAAAAGCAGCTAATATCCAATGAGAGAGATCCTGATATCCTGGCAACTCACTCTGGAATTTGACAGTGCAGTGAACAGCATGGAAAAAGGCTGGTGAAATGAAGTGGAGTCTACATCACACAGTGTCCCCTGAAGGATGAGTCACAGGAACAATTTCTCTTGGTCCCGGTGCCAGGAAACTCTGTGTTTCTCTGGGGCAGTTGCTTTGCTTTTATCTTTTGGGTTCTACATATCTTTTAGCTGACCATGTTTCCCTTTTAGCTCTGGCTGTCGGGAAACTCCACATCAAATTTCTGGCTCATTTCTCACAACTATATGGCAGGAACTTTGTATACCAATGCTGCTTGTGGCTTTATTTTCATTTCATTCTCCCAAATAACTTCCTTTTTTTTTTTTTTGAGACACGGTCTTGCTCTGTTACCCAGGGTGGAGTGCAGTGGCACAATCATAGTTCACTGCAGCTTCAAATGCTCCTGATTTATTTTTTATTTATTTGTAGAGTCAGGGTCTCACTTTGTTACCCAGGCTGGTCTCAAACTCCTGGCCTCAAGTGATCCCCCCACCTCGGTCTCCTGAAGTGCTGGGATTACAGGCCCAAATATCCTTCTATTAATTAAGAATCTGGTTGTATTGTACTCCGTATTTGTAAATGACTTTTTTTTTTTTTCTTTAATGGAATGGGATGGAGAGGAAAAAGAAAAAGAAAGAGAAAGTGGGCTGGGCACCATGGCTCACCCGTAACTGGTACAGGTTACTGGTTAGACACATCCCAGATAAATGATTGATAAAAACAGGAAAATGCAAAATAAAGCAATGAGATTCACTTTTCACCCAGAAAGTTGGCAAAAATCAGTTCTGACAATACCACGATTTGGCATGTACGACATTCTATGCTGCTCCTGAGGTCTACACTGACTGATTAGAAATTGGCACATAGTCAGGCGTGGTGGCTCACAAACTGTAATCCCAGCACTTTGGGAAGCTCAGGTGGGAGGATCACTTGGGCCCGGGAATTCAAGCCAGCCTGGGCAAAATGGTGAAACCCTGTCTACACACACACACACACACACACACGCACACACACACACACACACACACACACAAAACTACACCAATTAGTTGGGCATGTTAGCTCACACCTGTAATCCTAGCTACTCGGGAGGCTAAGACATAGGATCACTTGAACCCAGGAGGTCAAGGCTGCAGTGAGCTGTGATTGTGCCACTGCACTCCAGGCTGGGTGACAGAGTGAGACCCTGCCTCAAAAAAGTAAATACATTTCAAATGTGGCACACATGAAGGTGCACGTGGCTATGACTCAGCAATTACACACCAAAGTACCTGAACTCTAGAGGAACTCAGAGACATATGCATAGAAGACTTTACAGAAAATGTTTGTTTCAGCATTGTTTGCGATAGCAAAAAGAAGAAAACATTCTTTTTTCTTCTTCTTTGGTAGAGACAGGGTTTTGCCATGCTGCCAAGGCTGGTTTTGAACTCCTGGGCTCAAGCAATCTCCCTGCCTTGTCTTCCTAAAGTGCTGAAATTACAGGTGTGAGCCACCAGGCCCAGCCAAAAAGAAGGAAACGTTCTAAATTCTCTCAACAAGAAAATGAAAAGTAAATTGTGATCTAACCATACAACAGAATACTATACAGCAAGTAAAATGAATGAATCAGGGCTATGTGTGCTGCTATAGATAAAACTCAAAACATAGTATTAAGCAAACAGCAAACTGCAGAAAGCTACTTAAACAATTCTATTTCTACAAGGCTTAAATTTGCAATAATCATATTGTATAAGGATCACTTGAGCCCAGGAGGTCGAAGCTGTAGCAAGCTGTGATTGAGCCACTGCATCCCAGTCTGAGCAACAGAGCGAGACCCTGTCTCTAAAAAAGAAAAATGTGTGAATGCTGTCATTGCAGCTGTGTGGAAACCTTCTGCCTGCAAAGATGGGAAGGAAATGTGTGAAAGATGATGGTGTTGGAAGGTAGGAACACCAACGTCTTGGCTGTGCGGTCGAGGATGGGAGGGAGTTGGTTAGCTGTGATGGGACCTCTCTTGCAGGCTTTGTGGTCCAGGGCTCCAATGGCGAGTTTCCCTTCCTGACCAGCAGTGAGCGCCTGGAGGTGGTGAGCCGTGTGCGCCAGGCCATGCCCAAGAACAGGCTCCTGCTAGCTGGCTCCGGATGCGAGTGTGAGCCAGAATGCCTTGGGCCCTGGGGGTGGGTAGGCGTGCAGGCTCCAGGCTCCTTAGCCCTAGCTTGGGTCCCCTCGCTTGACCCAGTGTCCTGGTCCAGGCCTCCTTCTTCCTGCTTTCACCTCCCTCCTTCCTCTGGCAGCTACTCAAGCCACGGTGGAGATGACTGTCAGCATGGCCCAGGTCGGGGCTGACGCAGCCATGGTGGTGACCCCTTGCTACTATCGTGGCCGCATGAGCAGCGCGGCCCTCATTCACCACTATACCAAGGTGTGTGGGGGCCCTGAGACTAAGACGAGGCTCTGCCCGGGGATAGGGTGAAGTGGGGTGGTCCTTCATGTGAACGGCAGCTATAAGAAAGGGTGGACTGCCACCATGCACCAGCTGCACGACGTTGGGAAGCTTACCTAACCACTCTGTGTTACTGCTTCCTCCCCTCTAAAATCAGAGAATGATGTCATCTATCTCCTAGTGTTGCCATAAGCATTAAATGAGATCAGGAACATAAAGGGCTTAGAACTGTGCCTGGCATATGGAAAGCACTCCATAGATATGACCCACTATGGGGCCGGGCGCGGTGGCTCATCCCAGCACTTTGGAGACCGAGGCAGGCGGATCACAAGGTCAAGAGACTGAGACCATAGAAACCCCATCAGTCCTAAAAAAACAAACAAACAAACAAAAAATTAGCTGAGTGTGGTGGCGCCCGCCTGTAGTCCCAGCTACTCAGGAGGCTGAGGCAGGAGAATTGCTTGAACCCAGGGAGGTAGAGGTTGCGGTGAGCTGAGATCACACCACTGCACTCCAGCTTGGCAACAAAGCGAGACTTCGTCTCAAAAAAAAAAACCATATATATATATATGTGTGTATATATGTATATATGTGTGTGTATATGTATGTGTACATATATACGTATATATGTGTGTGCGTGTATATATGTATGTGTGTGTGTGTATATATATATGTATATATATATATATGACCCACTGTGATTGCTTACACTCAGGGCATGTAGCACGGGAGGAAGGCCTGTCCAGGTGGCCCTGGAGTGCTGCAGGCCAGGACCTGCGGGTGGGCAAGCCTCTGGCTCCTGGGACCTGGGGGGCTGCCCTCTCCTGCTCTTCTCTGCACCCCCACAGGTTGCTGATCTCTCTCCAATCCCCGTGGTGCTGTACAGTGTCCCAGCCAACACGGGGCTGGACCTGCCTGTGGACGCGGTGTTCACACTCTCCCAGCACCCGAATATTGTGGGCATGAAGGACAGTGGTGGTGACGTGAGTGGCAGCAGCTCTGTGGCTGGGGTCCTCTCCCCCTTCTCTGGGTCCCTGCACTTATGCTCCTGAGGGCAGGTCTGTCCTTGGCTCCTGTTTGAGTTCTCTCTGTCATGCCGGCTCTCTGGGGCTTTCTTGAGGGCATCTCTTTGGGCACTGGGCTTTCATTCCACCACACGCACCTAGCCATCATACAGGATGAGGCTCTGGGCACAGCTCTCACGCCACATTTGCTATTGCAGGTGACCAGGATTGGGCTGATTGTTCACAAGACCAGGAAGCAGGATTTCCAGGTGTTGGCTGGATCAGCTGGCTTCCTGATGGCCAGCTATGCCTTGGGTAGGCTACCTGCTGCTCTCAAACTTCACGGGTGACCAAGAGACACCCAGGCAGCTGGGTCCGCTGGAAGAGACTGTGAGGGCTGGGGCTGGATTTGCAGACCGGTTTGCCAGCCTGTCTGCTCTGAAAACTCAGAAACCTGGCCACGCCGCTTGCCTGTCTGAATACTGGGTGATCTGAGCAACGCTGAGTGGAGAAGGATAGCCGTGTACGATCCCTGGTCTGTAATAGGGATGCCTGCAGTTTGCTCTGAGTCCTGAGCTCCATGATTAGATGACAGACTTATGCTCTAATCCCACCTTGTAAATCATTCTCTGAGGGCAGAGTGACTGGGGACACTCCTCTGTAGTTCAGCAGTCCATTTTCCTCTTCCCAGTCCCAGGCCAGAAAGAATTGTCAGATCTACAGAGTTGGGCCAGCAGTCTTCAGTTGCCTGATCAGATCCTGTTTCAATCCAGGATCCCTGGGAACGTCACCTAGATCAATTGTTCTTGACTGTTTGGGGTCGGGGTCAGGGTCCTTGGGTTCAGATTGGATTTGAGCCCTGGAGGGGAGGGAGAAGGGAAGCCGTTCCTTCCAGCGGAAACCCCAGTGAGCAGAGATTTGAGTGACTTTTCGAGCACTGCAGGGGAGAGCTCTGGTTCTGATTCCATCTGGTCCCTCCAGATTTTGGCTGGTTGTCTAGGTCCTTGTACATCTCCCCTTGCCATGTCATGGTCTCTACAGTGCAGGGGAAGAAGAAGGGATCCATTTCTGCCTCATTCTGAGAGTGGAGTAGATTAAAGAAAAAAAGCACAGGTGCTGGAGGCTGGGTGATCTTAGCTGCAATTTCAGCTCTGCAATGTACTCACTGAGTAATGTTGGCAAGGCATTCATGTCTCTGGGCCTGAGTTTCTTTTTCTTTTTCTTTTTTTAAAACTTATTGTGACTCAAAGTTCTGCTGAATGGGCCTGAGTTTCTACTCTGTGATAGTAGGTATTCCACCAATAACAGCTCTATTAGTTCATTCTAAATTGCATACTCTCTCTTGGGTCTTGAGGCCACTGTACCTAGGCCACTGTTCCATTCCTATCTAGCCTGTGAGAGTGCACACTCACAGGCTTGCAGAAGTGGCGGGACTTCCACAGCCAAACCCATTTTTATTGCCTTGATGAGCACAAAGAGAACTAGAGAGGGTCTTGTTCAGGCTCATGAGGTCAATGGGAAGACATGCCTGCTGACCTGACACTGTCCGGAGCTCTTTCCAGCCCACTGCTGTCTCTGGTTGCATCCCCTAGTGGGAATAAGATTTCAAAAGGGCAAAGGCTTCCCAACCATCCTACCGTCTCACAGGACTGATGAGTCAGGGGGCTTTCGGAGGTGTCAACTGGCAGATGGGATTTTATTCCCGGAGGGGTGAAGTAAAGGAACTGTCCTTGAGTTCGCCTTCAGGCTCTGTTCCCTGCCCCTCACAGATCAGCCCTGAGCAGTACTCAGCCTGAGGGATTCTATTTTGAATATACAGGCAGCTCTTCTCTAGAAACGTATACTCTGGACTCACAGAGCATGCCTTTGATGTGGCCAGCCAAGTGACATAGAAATCTGCATCTAATGTCACCAGGCTGAAGAGGTGCTGGGACCAGGGCTTTGGGTGCTCTGTGGGGAGAGGCTCTGGCTGATGTTCTGCGTCTTACTTCGTGCAGGAGCTGTGGGGGGCGTGTGCGCCCTGGCCAATGTCCTGGGGGCTCAGGTGTGCCAGCTGGAGCGACTGTGCCTCACAGGGCAATGGGAAGATGCCCAGAAACTGCAGCACCGCCTCATCGAGCCAAACGCGGCGGTGAGCCAGTGGCAGTGGGGGCGTGGCATGGGTGGGGGTGGTCTGTGTTCTCTTGGAACAGGACCCAGGGCTGGCACCAGGCCCCACTCAGTCTCCTCCTTTCAGAGAACACCCCAGTGTGGGAACTCCTTGTGCCTCCCAGAAAATCCTGACTTCAGACAAAGTCAGGCTCTATTGATTGCCAAACTTAAGTGCACATTAAAATTCCCTTAGGGGCGAATTAAAGTTCCAACTTTTGGGCCCAAAAATATGCACTGAAACAAACATTCTGTGGGATTGTGACAGAGTAACCCTAGAACCACACTCAGAGATGGCTAGAAAGAAAGAGCGTAAACCAGGGTCCTCTAAATCCGCCCTATTGGGTCCTGAAAAAATAGACATGATTATTGGGGCTAGCAAAGAAGTTAGGAGGCAGGAGAGTGCTGTCTTTAAATAATGTGTCCTGTAGTCAGACTGTGCGCCTCACTTCTTTGTTGGGCAAGCAAAGGGGAACTTCAGAGAAAACTCCCGACAAGTTCAGGGTCATTCTGAAGTCTGAAGCAACAGAATAATGTGTGCCCCTGTATTCAAGTTTTAATGTACATTGTACTACTGTATTATTTTTTCTTTCTTTCTCTCCTTTTTTTTTTTTTGAGGCAGAGTCTTGCTCTTTTGCCCAGGCTGGAATGTAGTGATCTCAGCACACTGCAACCTCTGTCTCCCAGGTTCAAGCAATTCTTGTGCCTCACTCTCCTGAGTAACAGAGATTACACGTGTGCACCACCATGCCCAGCTAATTTTTGTTTTTCAGTAGAGACAGGGTTTCACCATGTTGGCCAGGCTGGTCTCAAACTCCTGGCCTCAAGTGATCCGCCCACCTCAACCTCCCAAAGTGCTGGGATTACAGGCATGAGCCACAGTGCCCGGCCTATTATTTTTTCTTTTCTTTTTGAGACAGTCTTGTTCTGTCACCCAGGCTGGAGTGCAGTGCCGTGATCTCGGCTCACTGCAATCTCCACCTCCCAGGTTTAAGCAATTCTCCTTTCTCAGCCTCCCTAGTAGCTGGGATTATAGGTGCATGCCACCATATTTGGCTAATTTTTTTGTATTTCTGGTAGAGATGGGGTTTCACCATGTTGGCCGAACATGGTCTTAAACTCCTGACCACAAGTGATCCTCCTGCCTCCTGCCTCCTGCCTTGGCCTCCCAATATTTATTAGTTTATTTTTTATTTTTGAGACAAGGGTCATTCCCTGTCATCCAGGTTAGAGTACAGTGGTACAAGGACAGCTCACTGCAGCCTTAAGGTCCTGGGTTTAAGCAATCTTTTTATTTTTAGTTTAGTTAATTTTTTTGTAAAGATGGGAGTTTCATTATGTTACCCAGGCTGGTATTTATCTCCTGGGCTCAAGAGGTCCTCTTACCTCAGCCTCCCAAAATGCTGAGATTACAGGCATGAGCCACCATGCCTGGCCTACTGTATATTTTATATTAAACTTTTTATTTTATTTTATTTATTTTGAGATGGAGTTTCACTCTATTGCCCAGGCTAGAGTACAGTGATCTCAGCTCACTGCAACCTCCACCTCCTGGGTTCAAGCAATTCTCCTGCCTCAGCCTCCCAAGTAACTGGGATTACAGGCCACCATGCCTGGCTAATTTTTGTGTTTTCAGTGGAGACGGGTTTTACCATGTTGGCCAGGCTGGTCTCGAACTCCTGACCTCAGGAGATTCGCCTGCTTCGGCCTCCCAAAGTGCTGAGATTACAGGCACGAGCCACCATACTTTGGTCTAACTTTTTATTTTAGATAATTATAGATTCTCATGCAACTTTAAGAAATAATACAGGCCAGGCAGGGCAGCTCACGCCTGTAATCCCAGCACTTTGGGAACCCAAGGTGGGCAGATCATGAGGTCAGAAAATCGAGACCATCCTGGCTAACATGGTGAAATCCAATCTCTACTAAAAATACAAAAAATTACCCAGACTTGGTGGCATGCACCTGTAATCTCAGCTACTTGGGAGGCTGAAGCAGGAGAATTGCTTGAACCCAGGAGGCAGAGGTTGCTGTGAGCCAACATCACACCAGTGCACTCCAGCCTGGGCAATAGAGTGACTCTGTCTCAAAAACAAACAAACAAACAAAATAAATAATACAAAAGGATCGCATGTACCCATGATCCAGTTTTCCCCAATGGTAACATCTTACAAAACTGTAGAATAATTTTACAGTCTGGATATTGACCTTGATACAGTCAAGACACAGATTATTTCTGTCCCCACAAGGATCCCTCATGTCATCCTCTTATAGCCACAACTACTCATATCTGCCTTCAACGGCTCCTTAACCTCTGGCAACCACGCATACATTCACCATTTTATAGTTTCGTCAGTTCAAGGCTATCCTATACAAAATCATGTAGTATATAACTTTTGGAGATTGGCTTTTTTCCACTCAGCATAATTCTCTGGATATTCATCCAGGTTGTTCGTTGCATGTATCAATAGTTAATTCCTTTTTATTTCTGAGTTCTATACTATGATATGGCTGTACCACAGCATGTTTATTTATTTATTTATTTATTGAGATGGGGTCTTGCTCTGTTTCCCAGGATGAGTGCAGTGGCAAGATCGTGGCTCACTGCAGTCTTGATCTTCCAGTTCAAGCGGTCCTCCCAGCTCATCCTCCCAAGTAGCTGGGATGACAGGTGCACACCACCATGCCCAGCTAATTCTTTTTTACTTTTAGTAGAGACAAGGTCTCGCTAGGTTGCCAAGGCTGGTCTCGAACTCCTGGTCTCAAACTATCTTTCCTCAGCCTCCCAAAGTGCTGGGATTACAGGCATGAGCTCCCATGGCTGGTCCCCCAAAGCATGTTTAGTCATTCACCTGTTGAAAAACAGCTGGGTTATTTCCATTTTTGGTTATTAAAAACATTCATGGGCTGGGTGCAGTGGCTTATGCCTGTAATCCCAGCACTTTGAGAGGCCGAAATGGGCAGACCACCTGAAGTTGGGAGTTTGAGACCAACCTGGCCAACATGGTGAAACTCGTCTCTGCTAAAAATACAAAAATTAGCCGGGCGTAGTGGTGGGCGCCTGTAATCCCAACTACTGAGGAGGCTGAGGCAGGAGAATCACTTGAACCCAGGAGGTGGAGGTTGCAGTGAGCTGAGACTGCACCACTGTACTCCAGCCTGGGTGGCAGAGTGAACCTCTGTCTCAATAAATAAATAAGTAAGTAAATAAATAAATAAATGCTGCATGAACATTCATGAACAGGTTTTCATGTGTCCGTAAGTTTTCATTTTTCTGAGATCAATACACAGCAGTACAAATGGTGGGTCATATGGTAATCACGTTTCCTTTTCTAAGAAACTGCTGGCTGGGTGCGGTGGCTCACACCTGTAATCCCATCATTCTGGGAGTCTGAGATGGTGGACTGCTAGAGCCCAGGAGTTCAAGAGGGCCTGGGTAACATGGGGAGACTCTGTTTCTACAAAAAATACAGAAAATTAGCCAACTGTGGTGGCATGCACCTGTGACCCATGACTCAGGAGGCTGAGGCAGAAGGGAAGATCCCTTGAATCTGGGAGGTTGAGGCTGCAGTGAGCTGTGATATTGCCACTGAACTCCAGCTTGGGCTACAGAGACCCTGTCTGAAACAAAACAAAACAAAACAAAACAAACAAAAAACCCAGACACAAACCTGCCAAACTTTCCCACAGTGGCTGTGCTATTTTAAATTTACACTGAGGTAAATGTATGAGTGATACAGTTTTTCTGCAGCTTTGCCAGCATTTGGCATTGTGACTATTTTTTTTTTTTTTTTGAGATGGAGTTTCGCTGTTGTTACCCAGACTGGAGTGCAATGGCATGATCTTGGCTCACCACAACCTCCGCCTCCTGGGTTCAAGCAATTCTCCTGCCTCAGCCTCCCAAGTAGCTGGGACTACAAGCGCGCATCACCATGCTCAGCTAATTTTTGTATTTTTAGTAGAGATGGGGTTTCACCTTGTTGACCAGGATGGTCTCGATCTCTTGACCTCGTGATCCACCCACCTCGGCGTCCCAAAGTGCTGGGATTATAGGCGTGAGCCACTGCGCCCAGCCATTGCGACTATTTTTTATTTTAGCCGTTCTGATAGATGTGTAGTATCGTCTCATTGTGCTTTTAATTTGCATTTCTCTGACGGCTAATGGTATTGAACATTTTTTTCATATATTTATTTGCCATCTGTATTTCAGTCAAATATCTTTATTTCTTACCCATTTTAAAATTGGACTGTTCTTTTGACTGCTGAGTTTTTTTTGTTTTTTTTTTTTTTTTTTGAGACGGAGTTTCGCCCTTGTTACCCAGGCTGGAGTGCAATGGCGCGATCTCGGCTCACCGCAACCTCCGCCTCCTGGGCTCAGGCAATTCTCCTGCCTCAGCCTCCTGAGTAGCTGGGATTACAGGCACGTGCCACCATGCCCAGCTAATTTTTTGCACTTTTAGTAGAGACGGGGTTTCACCATGTTGACCAGGATGGTCTCGATCTCTCGACCTCGTGATCCACCCGCCTCGGCCTCCCAAAGTGCTGGGATTACAGGCTTGAGCCACCGCGCCCGGCGCGACTGCTGAGTTTTAAAGTTCTTTTTTTATTTTTAGTAGAGACAGGGTTTCACCACATTGGCCAGGATGGTCTCAATCTCCTGCCCTCATGATCTGCCCACCTTAGCCTCCCAAAGTGCTGGGATTACAGGCGTGAGCCACTGTGCCCGGCCTTTTATTTATTTATTTATTTTGAGACGAGTCTCGCTCTGTCGACAAGGCTGGAGTGCAGTGTCGTGATCTCAGCTCACTGCAACCTCTGCCTCCCGGGTTCAAGCAATTATTCTGCCTCAGTGTCCCGAGTATCTGGGACTACAGGTGCACGCCACCACGCTCAGCTAATTCTTGTATTTTTAGTAGTGACACGTTTCACGATGTTGGCCTCAACCTGCCAAAATGCTGGGACTACAAGTGTGAGCTCCTGAGC